GTAATCAGTGCTAAACGTCATATCAACTCAATAAACGTTCACTGTTCACACCTATACTGTGCTTGCTGGCCTTTTTTTCCCCATGGATCTGTTTCCTAGTGTCCTACGATTTCTCCTATAGCACGGGCAAATTAAACAATACGATGGTTATAGATATGGAATTCTTAAAATAATTTTCGTATGCTGTGCGTTTTGAAAATTCAAAGAGAACCATATTTGGTAACCATATTCATCATTGTAGCAACTGATCAGAAAATGTATACACACACACACACTGACTGGACAAGACTAACCAATTTGTGAATCGAGGACGGATGAGATGGCTTAATTTATCATATAACTAAAGCATTGTTAGCAAAATATTCGAATGTATGAAATAATAACCCAATGGCTACTTTCCTGCCTATCTACATGTGACATGCCTATGTAAAGTGTACAATTGAATAATAATTTATATTATATGATAATTAAAAACTATCATGGATGGCAGACATATATGCAAGTGTGGCGCACATAATTGCACATCTTTCAACACATTATAACATCACCAAATTTCACTGGCAGTTTGACAACAAAGTCTTGCCGGACTGACAGACTAAATTCTCTGAAATGTTCATAGTATGATGTTATCCATGGGTATGTGTCTTCACTTTGTGAAAACTCATACTTTTTTATGTTGGCGAAGATAAAAACATTCGCTCAAGAATCAATTGGCATTTCGTCAAAGACTTGATGAATTTTAAAAACATTTCTTTCAAGAAAGTCAAGCCATATAATGTAGCAGATTCAAAACCCATTATAGTATATCCAAGACCACTTTAGTATTCATCATATCAATTTTTATATCTTGCAACTGCATTCAGCGTCACGATTATTTTGCGATATTAAAAAGTCCTAAATATGATTTAAATTGATTTTCTGGTTTAAAAACATTGACATTGTTTAAACATTTTTTTGTTTTTATTTTGCTCTTCAAAGGGTCTCAAATGTATACAAGTAACGGAATTTAAGAATATGTGTTTTGACGAGTAGCTCGCTGATTTTGGTGGTACTTTCTCCTTTTTACTAATGTGCTATTTGTTTCGAATTGTTGGTTTTTAATTGCTTTTAACAAGTATTTAAAAGTCGCACATGGGCTTCTCCCATTGCTACAGAAATTCTGCCATATTACATAAAAAGTCTAAAGCATAAGTAATATAATACATTTATTTTGGAATTATTATAAATCACATGAATATTGCAATATTTGATTTATTGACAATGTATACCACTATTCTATATAATACATTGATATTATATTGAGAATATAATCCATCAAGTTTTCTCAATAAAAGTTTTACGTTTATTATTACGTTAGAATATGATTGTCAATACACAAGTATGTCGATGGCATATTGAACAGCTGAGTATTAGTCATTCCAATAGAAAACAATGTGTTCATGTGATGGTTAATTAATTGATTAAGAATTTCTATAGCAAATTATCAACACAATATATTAGAAATACAAAAATATAGAGTCAAGAGCATGGATATATGGTTTTAAATTAGTTATGGGTTAATATATGTCAAAACCCCTTGCTTGCT